TTTTTATATAATATTATGTATATTTGAAATCTTTTTAATGTGTATGATTAATAAATACGATTTTAGGAAAAATGTGTATAGTTAAGTTTAACAAAGATCAACAATGGTACCGCGCTAAAGTAGAAAAAGTTGCTGGACCGAGCATACATGTTTTGTATATTGATTATGGTAACAGAGACGTAGTGACTGCTGAAGAGTGTGCTGATTTGCCACTTGATTTTAAAGATGACCAACCGTATGCCAAAGAATATGGATTTGCACTTGTGAAGCTACCCAAGTTTCCTGAATATCAAGAAGAATCCATTGCCGCTGTACGTGATGAGTTCATTAACAAAACAATCAACATMAATGAAGMATACACTTACAGCAATCTTACTCACGTTACCGTGAAAGACGCAGACAAAAAAGAAGATCTCGTCAAGAAATTGGTCGAAGAAGGATTCTTGTTGGTTGAAAGACTTCGTAAAAAATATTTGCAAAAATTGGTAATACAAGTAAYATTTAATGATTATTTATCTTTGTATTAAATTAAACCATTCGATTTTTTCCATCTAGTTGACCGAGTACATTGAGGCTCAAGAAAAGGCTAAGAAGGATCGGTTACATATTTGGGAATATGGTGATATCACAGAAGATGACGCTAAAGAATTTGGTTATGCTAAATAAATGGTCTWTATCTACTTCCAAAACACTCGATAGGTATCTACTGATCAGGCCTTTTACAGTGTAAAATTTTATTATTACTTTAAGCTTTTCTTTATACTGAATCTAAACCTTAAATAATTTGTAAAATACTATTATGTGCTATGTATGACCTAAAGACTGTTTGGATAGATTATATTATCGTTTCCATTTATTATCATCTTGATCTATGGTATCGATATAGTATACATTATACAGACATTCTATGTTTTAGTCTAATTCAAACATACATTGCATATTCTTTTATGTTTTTAAGTTTATTTGTAAAATTAAATGAATTTGAATTACTATTATATTATATTTAATAAATRCAATAACCACTTTAATTATGAAAAAATGGTTTAGTTATTAAAGTTTATGACATAATGTTGAGTTGAGATTTCATTAAACAATGAATATACTGGGATTAAATAACAGAGAAGTTGTTCACAGAACGAGATGTCTAGGATAGTTAGCTTAGCTCGGTCCGAGAAGAGGAAACAGAACGAGATGTCCAGGGTGACGGACTTGGTCGTCCCGAGAAGACTACGATGAAAGAACAAATATTTTATAATTGTATATAAATTGCTGTGATGGTATACAGCCTGTCCAACATCCATAGATGTATAACTTTGTAAATTCATAACAGGATAGGGGTATTCGCATATACACCARCTTACTGAGGAAGGGTATCTCTAAAATGTTATGACTAATTCGATGTGTAAATATTAATCTTTTATAAATAAACGATGCTGCATGGTGGCTAAGCAATGTGAAAATAGTTCGGCCTCCAAGTAGTGATTAACATGAAAAAAAAAAAGGTCTTAGGCTTCTTCTAATATTTTGTTCACCGTGAATTTGGTAAAGTCTTCGGGATGAAACAGTCATTGTACATTCGCAGCATCACCACAAGTATCAATCGAAAATTGTTCTCGGATGTTGTGGTCSAGTCATCCCGGAAGTTCAACACCTACAATTGGCAGTCTGTGACCTAGCTTCTTTGTCACTATGCGGTACGGGTGACCCCATGGGTTACGTTCGATCTCGGCGCACAGTTCAGCCCAGCGATTAGATTTGGCAACTTTGATAGCCAGAACCAGTTTTTTCTTAGTGTCCTTATATGCTGAAGCTTCAGCCTGGCATTCCTCTTCAGTGACTCACTTTCTGCACGATATTTCCGAATCTGTTCTAAATATTTATTTCTCCAAATAACAATTTCATCTTTTTCAATCATTGCACTAGTGCGACCTCTCTTGCTGTATTCAAAGTTCATACTTTTTAGCAGCCTATGAAGTGTGGCACGAAAGAAATAAGGCAGGTCGTGGTCGTCGTTGATGGAAATAAGAATTTTATCGAGCGTCGGTATTTCACGT